GATATGGTTTATCTCACTCATAGGAAAATTTGGGAAATAGTCTACATTGAGAGAAAATGGATTATTGCCATGGAAACAAGGGGCAGGAGGAAAGGCTTACCAAGGGGCACACACCAGAAATATTTTTGGAAGATTATGATTGAGGTGTGCAATAATGTACAGTTGCACACATTATAGTAAAACTCCAAAAGATCTATATTGTGACTGCTACAGGTTCCTAATTGTATTTCAACACTGCTGTTGTAAAAGTAAAAGCTATACTTAAACTAACTATTATACATGTTATAAGAAAGTGGTTCTTGGATTGGAAAAGTCATCCAACTTCCATCTTCTGATGCAAGCCACCCAGGAGTTATTTTCCAGGCAATAATGAACTTCAAACCTCTAACAAGGAGGTCACATTATCTCAACTCTGGAATGGCCACGTAAACTCATTGCTTTTAATTCTGAGTATACCTTTTACTTATTCATTTTTCTGGTGCAGGCATCAAACCCAGGGCCTTGTGGATATTACGTAAAAGCTCTACCATTGAACTACATATTTACCCAGGGAAGGTCTGCACAGTACTGGCTTATCTTTTATCCTAACTTCAACTTACTCAAAGTCCTTTAAGACTACAGAAAAACATGTTCATTGAAAAGGAAAAAAGTAGGGTTATCGCTACAGTTCAAAATTAGCATCTCTCTGGGGCTAGGAAGTGGCACAGTGGCAGAGTGCTTGTCTTGCAAGCATGAGGCCATGGGTTTGATTCCTCAGCAACACATAAGCAGAAAAAGCTGGAAGTGGTACTGTGGCTCAAGTGGTAGAGTGCGAGCCTTGAGCTGAAGAGTTGAGGGACAGTGCCCACACTGAGTTCAGGCCCCACGACCAAACCAAAAAACAAAACAAAACAAAACAAAAAAGAGCAAGGAGAGGCAGTAAGAGCTTCCATCAGACTCTCCTTAAGCCCCTCATTCTTTTCTTCCTGGAACTGACCTTGCATACAAAACTGATGCTCAGATAGACAGCAGGATTATTTGGGCCTTGACTTTCCCTTTGCTGCCTCCTTGTCATCACCCTACACCTCCCCAGTGTTCTCCATGAACTCTTCTAAGTGAAAATCAGAAACATTTACTCCAGTTGTAATCCACAAGTATTGGATGGTGTAGCCAAATCCCCAGCACTCAACACTGTTGGAGAATGGTGACCATCAATGTTCTCAGTGATTTCTTTTTGCTTTTGTGTTTTCGCCCCTATGGTTTATATCTTGTCACTGTGTTCAATTTTGGTACCCTGGGTATTGTATATGCGTTTATATGAACTAGGGAAGGGAAGGGGAACAACAAAACAGTGCGACATTGAACAAAGGGGAAACCCAGGCAACAGTGATTCTCACAAGACAATATGGTGGAAAGGATCCGTACAACTTGGGGGTGGATTGGGGGAAAGAGAAAGAGAGAGAGAAATAAGGGTAGTGCTAGCAAGTTGTTATTCTCCCACTATCCCTTCCCTTCCCCACCTCACCACCCAGAAAATGAATGGTGACTCTATTGCAACTTTTGCAAGACCACAAAAACCAATACAAAGCCATGTGAATTGTATTGAACTTTATCCTCTATGTGTTCCAGTGTTTGGTGGAAACCATATGAATCATCTTGTTAGCCCAAATTGTTAAGATATTTATGTTAAAATACTTGATGCATTTGGTAACACTGTTCAGAAAAACAACTTGATCTTGGTTCTATTTATCCTGGTAGAAATAGTGCTTGTCTTCTAATCCACAAAATATATCATATAAAAGCAATTAAAAAACATACTCAGAAAATTATGATTGACTAAAAGTTGGCCTAGAGGCATAGACTTCATTTTAAGAAACACTAACAGAACATGGACTAGTTAATCTAATCTTTTTGTGCAAAAAAAAAGGGAAAGCTTTTTGAACAGCAGGTAAATTGTCTCCTTGTACAAACTAAGAGCTACAAAACAATGCCTTCATTTTAGATGACTTGAACTTAAATCTTTTCTTTTACAATACAAAATTTGTTCATGGAATCACCATCACTTAGGCATTGACTCTGCAGTGCTGATGTTAGATACTGTATGACACAGGAAACTCACAGACATTGCTGCTTGTAGATCTCTGTCAATTTGGCAAACTATTGAATATTCCAAGACTTTCCAAGTTCACCAGTTCAAAAAGCATATGTCTCAAATAATTAATGTACACGTGTAAAAACAGAATGAAGCTTGATGAGACTGGCTTGGGAAGCAGAGAGTAGAAATGAAGAAGAGTGAAGGAGAGGATGATTCTGATCAAGGAATTCACATTATTTGTGCATCTGGAAACCACGACGAAAGCAATTGTGCAAACAACTAATACGTAAAAAAAGAAAGAAGATAAAAAAAGGCTTCCTAAGAAGTTGGCACTTGAGGTGTGTGAGGTCCTCTCCTGGACTAGAGGCTTGTGGAGTTAATTGTGTTCAACAGAGATGTTCACAAAAATAGTTGTAAAGAGCGGAGATAGAGGCCAGGTTCTGGGGGTTCATGCCTTCAGCTAGGCACTATGGTGTCTGAAATCTAAAATTGTGGCTCAAAACAACGCCAGGCAAAAAAAAAGTAGGTAAGACTCTTCTCTCTGATTATGAGCAAAAAGCCAGAAGTGGAAGTGTGGCTCAAGTGGCAGAGCTCTAGACTCAAGCAAAAAAGCTAAGGGACAGTGTCTAAGCCCTCAGTTCAAACCCACTACTGGCACATACACACACACACACACACACACACACACACACACACACACATTTATTTAGAAAGCAAAAAGAACAGAGCTAGAATCCCTGTGAAACTGTCACAGGGCTATGGTGAAGTTCTGAGTGTGATTTAATCATGAAGTAAAACAAGATGAATTCAGCCAGGATCTGAAGGTGTTAGAGAGCTTATGTAGCTCCATCCAGGAAAAGAAGGCATGGCCAAAACCAAATGAGCATTGTAATACAAACTCAGAAAGAGTGGTTATGCAGTATTTTCCTCCTTACATTGGTCTAGCCACTTGTCCTTGGAAAAGTTAGGAAAGAAGATAAAAAGGAGAAAAGATCTGTGAAAAACATTCCTTCTCTCTTGTCTCTGTGGGACCTTAGATGACCAGAACTTCTCAGGAGACTCTCTGGATCCAAGTAGAGAAACCAAGTCACCGACGTCACTCAGCCACCCTCTGACAAGCTCTCCCTACTAATGGAGAACACAACAAACAGAAATACTCTGTCCCTTTCGCTTTTGCCCTACACAGGCATCTGTACTTGGTTGGCAAGGATGCCCTGGTCACAGGAGAAAAAAGGGTTTCCAGGATGACTTATGGCCAGGAAGAAGTTTGGCATCCTCCTGGGATGCCACCCTCACTGCATCTCACTCTCTTCTGTGGTCTCATGGAAGATCAGATCAGTGCTATGTCAGCTGCTAGGCCCGCCCAGATGTGACCTGTGCATCTAATTTCATTTAACTAAATGGCATGTCCACTCTGATCACACACATATGTCATAGATACTGACTCTCTATGTCTCTAGCTCTGTTACTAGACTCAGGATTCACAAAAAGAAATAAGAAATAGAGTCTTACTCAAGTTCAGTATTGAAAGACTATGCATGGCCTCACATCAGTGTTTTGGAGGCTGAAGGCACATGTTTGATTCTAGTTCTAGTGACTTCATGTGTTCAAGAAGGGAGTTGGGAAGACAGTCCTTGACTTGTGGTTTTGTTGTCTTCTGGGTTCATTAATGCCTAGACTCTACTCATAACTTCATTATGATGGAGCATGCTGATGATGGAGGAATCCGTTTCCAAACAAGGTCTCTTTAGCCTAGATGCCTCTTTTCACTTCTCCATGAGGTTTAAAAACAACAACAACAACAGCCATTGAAGGACTGCAGAAATGAAGTTCCCAAGGAGGAAGGATTAAGGGGAGAGGAGAAAATCAGAAGTTCTGACAAAAGAAAAAGAATATTCCAACATAAAGAAGCACACACACACATACACACATATAACAATGCACGCAGGCACACATACATCTTTCAGGCCTATGAAGCTGAGTTTCATTGAAAATCTGAAGTGCAATCTTCTAAATGTTACAAATATTATTCTCCTGGAGGCAGTCAAAGACAAGTACTTTTACTGCTATTTGTAAGTACCTATAACAAGAAGATATATCAAATGTCATTCTGTTCCTCGAACAGTAGCATAGATGCTACAGGGAGGCAGGTGAACATGGGGTTCATGATGCAAAGCAAGATTATTAAATATATCAGCAAACCACAATGAAAAACAATGAATCCTGAGCTGAGCTTGAATCTGAAATCATTCCTGTGCACTGATTCTATGTGTGAAAATTAACTTGGACACTTCTCATTGGCTTTGGTGTGTTGGACAAGATGGAGCTTAAATGACTAGTTCAGAGTTCATTACTTAAGGGAGAAGGGTAATGGTTTAGTCTCTCTGCAGAACTTTACTTCAAGTGTATGAATAATTCAGACTCCATAAATCTTTAAGCCATTTATAAATATATAGGTATTTAAAAGTCAGCTTAATCTATATTTGAAGCCTCCAGAAAATTATTTTGTTCAGCGTGAACCATTATAGTGGGGATACTACTGGATTTGACAACGTACTTACTACAAAAAAACACAGAAAGATGTAATTTGATATAAAAGTTCAAGGTGATTACAATGCTAACTTTTCTTTTTAAGAAAAGGTGGTAAGAAGTAGGTACATTTTATATTACATTCAACTAAGTCACAGATTATCTATAAGTATCAACATGACAAATTTTCAAACATGACAATTTGCTCTATGTGAGGATATAAAGGCAACTGTGTAGATTTTAAATTGTGAGGATAAATAGATATTCATAATGACATGGTATCTTTAATAGACTATAAAAATGACAATATAGTTGAGACCCTAACTTCATATATAGCCCTTAATTAGAAATAAATCTACCTAGTATATATGTTTCTAATTCTTTCTAATGAGAATAATTCATCTTTAAAATCATGGTATCTTTCATATAAAAGAACAAAAGATCTTAGAAAATAAATACTCATTTTCCAGCAATTAAGCAAACACCCTTTTCTATGCTTGTCTCTGGCTCTCATTGGTATTTCTTCATCAGATTGATAATTTCATCATATATTCTCCAGGGGGCATTCAAGCCCCAGATAAAGTCAATATGATTGTAATCAGGAATTTCCTTGTGGTACACCAAGTTGGGGATCTGAGTCTGTAAGATATGAACGTCACTGGTATCTGCCAGCCAGTCTCGAGCCCCGTTCCATAAGGCTATTGGCACAGTCATGTCTTTCACATTGTATGTGGGAGGGTAACTCTACAATAAAAAAAACAAAGAAAGGTTTATTATAGTTTTCAAAACTGCAATAAATACATCTCCATTAAACACTGTCCAATAAGTCTGAACTGAGAATAACAGATTAAATTTTGAAAATTCCTTTAAGTATTCAAGTAGCCATTGCAAGAACAAAATGAAATCTATACCTGGGCACCAGTGGTTCACCCCTGTAATCCTAGCTACTCCAGAGGCTGAGATCTAAGGATGAAGGTTCCAAGCCTGGGCAAGAAAGTCCTTGAGACTATTATCACTTAATAAGCACCAGAAAAACAGAAGTGGTGCTTGGGTTCAAAGTGGTAGAGTGTTATTTTTGAGGAAAAAAGATCAAGGGAAACATTGTTTTCATGAGATACAGAGGAGCAACTGGCCCATGTAAGGGGAGACTAAGCCAAAGCCTCCTAGTTTCTCCTGTTTGGATGGAAGAGGAAACCTTATTTCCTCATTTTTTTTTAATTGTTGGTGGGTTGTGGGGCTTGACCTCAGGGCCTAATGCTGACCTGAGCATTTTTCCCTCAAGGCTTGTGAGCTAGCAATTTGAGCCACAGTGCCACTCTTAGTTTTCTGGTAGTTATTTCAAGATAAAAGTTTTAAAGACTTTTCTTCAAGGGAAGGCTTTGAATCATGATCCTCTGGTTTCAGCCTCCTAATTTTGTAGGATTACAGGCAAGAAACATGGCACTAGCTTCTCATCTTTAAGTCAAAGATAGACATGTCTAACTCCCAGGGATGCTGTGAGAAGGAAATAAGAAAACACAGATCAAGTAGCTCACACATTAGTGTACTTGATGCTTAAAGATGCTAATTCTATCTATGAGGGGAAGTGCTTACACAATGTCCAAAAACCCACAGCTTGCACACCTGTAATATACGTGGAACTACTTCAGTCCACAGTGTCTGTGCTCATGCTCACTCTGAATAATGTGTGCCTCTTATCTAGAGTCACTCAAAGGATGGAGAGAGAAAGGCCAGTCCACAACACCACCTGCAAACCTGTGAGCTTCTGGAGAGGACAGAGGGAAATCAAATACCACCTAGGCATTCCTTAGTAGCTAAGCACAGCCACAACCTCACTAAGGTAGGCTGCTTTCCGAGTGGTGTTATTTGGGGGTCCATTTACATTTAAGGACAGAAATCTTTACCTGGTTGTAGTGTAGGTAGTTTTTGGCACTGCTTCCCCAGTCAAAGGCTTGTAACTTGCTAACTTTTGAAATCTAAGAGTAAAATAAAACAACAAATTGACATAAGAAATCACTGTATTAAGCCAAGTCATCAGAATTGAGGAACGGGGTTGCCACTGCTCACTAAACTGAAAAGTAGCTGTCCATCTGCCTCAAATGGCTCAGACTTATTCCTTGCAACTCTGGGACTGCACACACACCCCAACTCACAGAAATTGGGTCTTTCTGACGTAGAGTCTATCAAGCAGAGTTCAAAACACTCAGAAATGTAGTAGAATGTTGCTGTTAGGATATGCGAAGTAAACAAAAGATGATAAACTGAAATGTGACTGAGGGGAATTGTGAGCACCTAAAAGAAGAGCATGAGTGAACAACAGGACTTTCAAAGGCCCAGGCCATTGCTTAAATGCTAAGTGTGCTCTGTCAGCATGGTAGGAACAATATGCATTCCAGGGGCTCCTCTTCTAAACCACAGCAAACTCTCATATTTAGCCTTCCAGTCTCTACAAGCTAAGAACTTCAGGCCAGGAAATGACTCCTTATAGCTGATCCAAGAGAGGAAGAGATTCAGGTATTTCCAATAGACAGGGCTCTGAGGAAGGAGACCAAATGAGCAATGATGTCACCCATGAGCATATCCCACACTTGCTAAGGTAGAGGAATCTCCTAGACAGGTTTTTCCAAAATAAAGATTCTCAGGAGCAAAAAGTTCACAAAACAACAAGTACACATACATGAGGTACACAACATAACAAGTCTCAACCAATTGTGATGAGTGAAAAAGCCAGACAAACACATAGTATCTGGCTGCACTAAATCTCCAGAAAATGAAAACTAATCTAAAGTAACAGAAAGCAGCATAGCTGTTGGGGTTGGAGGAGAACAGAGGAGAAGGTATTGCAGAAGGTCATAAGGACACTTTGGAGGGCTGATGCTATGTTCACTCTCTTGATTGACACAGGGCTTGCAAGTGTACTCCTATGGCAAAATCTATCAAGAGTGTGTTGTTTAAGGATCATTGTATCATTAAAACTTCAATAATCCTGCCCATGTAACTGTAACTCCTCTGTACAGTATGTTCACAAATAAAATTAAATTAAATTAAAAAAAACTTCAATAATGCTGTTAAAAATCAAAAATACCCCTTCGTATAACCACTTAATAATAGAATTTAATAAAGCTAGTATAAATTCTCCAGGGCAAATGCATCTAGATTGGCACATACACAGGAATCTGTTTTTGTTTTAATACTTTTAAGTAATTGTGAAAAGGAGTTTCAATTCAATAATGATTAGAAGTACAATGCATCTATTTTTGTCAGTCATGGAGTTCAATATCAGAGCCTGGGAACTGTCCCTGAGCTCTTTTGCTCAAGGGTAGTGCTCTACCACTTTAAGCCACAGTTCAATGTCTAGTTTTCTGGTGGTTAATTGAAAATAAGATTCTCACGGGAACTTTTCTGCCTAGCGGGCTCTGAACCTTGATTCTTAGGTCTGAGCCTTCTGAGTATCTAGGATTACAATGTGAGCCTCCAGAGCCCAGCAAAAACATATGTTACTCTCTCATCCTATTATTCAACCATAAGTGTCTATTTTAAAAACTTGCCATTTTAGACATTAGCATAAACTCAAATCCCATTATTTTACTGCAATATGTTATTAAAAGATGTCCTTTTCAAAAGCAATCCATGCTAGTGCTATAATACAAGCCACTCGGGAGGCTGATATGAGGTTCAAAATCAAGCTGGGCAGAAAAGTCTATGAGTCTCATCTCTAATTCCTGAGCCGGAAGTCGGACATGGAAGTGTGATTCTAGTGGTAGAAATCCATTCTTAAGCTAAAGAAACAAGCATAAGCTAAAGAGTCAACTACAAGATCGAGGCCCTGAGTTCAAGCCTCAGTACCAACACACACACACACACACACACACACACACACACACACACACACACACAGAGTGATTCTGCCTGCCTGCCTGCCTGGTGGTTGGAAATTTTGATGTAAAACACTTATGGTACCATCCATTTAAGCTTAACAGAAACTTGCTTTATATTTAAAATAAAATTCCCAGGGGGCGGGAAACTTTTCCAGAGTTGGACATAAGCTTTGACATAATGTTAACAGTAGAAGAGAAATAACCTACTTGTACATCTACTGCTGTGTTAAGGTATATACCAGAATGCAGAGACATCTCCTAACTCTAAATATACATCTCTAAATACACATCTGTGAATAACTATAGAACAATTATTACATTAAAAGATAATGCTCCTATTTTGCTAATATATGATCGGGAACAGATCTGCATTACTTCAGTGATTAAAAAAAATAAGCAAAACTCTATTTGCAAAGTTAGTGATTCCCCTCCACGCTCATGCTTGGTGTGGCTCTGTTATCCACTGACATTCTAAACATATCCTGTCCACAGCTGACTGCTGAAATAGCAGCACCCTATCTCCACTGCTACTCCAAAATCATGCTTTATGAACCAACACAGAAATAAAATAAACCTGTGAATCAATGACAGACAGATGGAGAGGAAGGAAAGAAAAGCAGAGTAAATAGGTAACTGAGAAGTAAAGAAAGGAGAAGGCAGGGGAAGAGAGGAAGAAGACACAAGACAAACCTCAGAGCTGTTGGATGATCTCACATGTAACATGTGTGCATCATACAGGGAAACACAGACAACACAAACACAGTGACCAGACCAGGAAGGAAACCAGATCAAACTTTTACATAGAGTGTCTTTCAGTGTGACAAGCTGGAGAGAGAGGTACATGGATGGATACTTGCAATTTTCCAACAACTGGATTTTCCCATACAAAGCTGCCCTTCTGAAAGGCCTACCTGCCTCCAGTGTAAGAAATCTTGCACAGAAGTTCCAGCAGTACTGTGTGACCAATAGACATCCACTCTTGACTGTACGATAAACATGACAAATTAAAGAATGAAAACAGCTTTTAGGTGATACTGAAAATCAACACATTTTGTTTTTTAAAGAATTAAAAACTACAATCTCAAATATATGAGATTAGGATGGAAAGAGAATGCTCTGACTATAACTATGTCCTCTAAAATATGAATAAGCATGGAGAGTGTGGAAGAATACAGCTTGCAATCATGGGCCATTGTTAGTTTCTTCTTTATGCTTTCCTGAACTTGCAAAATTGTAAATGGCAATAAGACTACCTTTACCAATAAGAAAAAAGTGATATTACTCTGAAAAATTCAGACAGCCATTGCTCCAGAATTGTGGTTTTGAGACAAGGTCTCCTAGGCAGCCTAGGCTGGCCTCTAACTTATGACCCTTCTGCCTAGTGTCTCACATCCTGAGGTTAAAGGGGGTAGCCACAATGCCTGACTCTTAAAACCTATTTTCAAAATTTAGCATTGTAAAGTGCATGTAGGTTTATAAAGAAAAGGTTATTTCTGGCCAAAGACTTGCATTTAATAAAACAAGTAAATACATATCTAACATATATGTACATATATCCACATATATGAATTGTTATATATGTGTGTATGTGTATATGAAGGTATGAGAATATATATAATGAAAACTCCAAACTGGGAAACACATATTTGTTAAAAGAAATATGCAAATATAGTGGCTTAAATTGTGGCAGATCCTCATATGCAACTCTCCACGGAAGATAAAAACAACCATGAGGACAAGTGCAACCATACTCATTTACTGAAAAGCACTTTTGGTCATCTTGAAAGAAAGGCCCTTCAGAGCTCTAACAAGGTCATTGCTGTGTCTCCCACATCATCCAAATTAAGCACATTGCAAGATCAAAACCACTGAGTGTTTAAATCGATTCTGAACATAACTATACATACCATATTTAAATTCCTCTCATCAAATCCACCCAGGAGAAAAAATAAATTTCCACAAAGCTCCTTCAGAATTGCATGGGTACAAAAATGAGTACTCAGCCACTTTGTGACTGGATTCTCAGGAAAGAATTCTTTGTGCCCAAGTATGTCCTACAAAATATAAAGAATCCCAACATTGACTCAGCATTTCCTGCTGGGATGGAAGCTTCCACAACTCCCTGCAGAAGCACAGACACACAAATATCCCTCCCAGTAGCCTCAGGGGCAAAATACAGACTAGCTGATATTCAAGTGAGTATATACAACAAGTATAGATATGTTAGAGACATGGAATTCAGTTTTAAGAGTGAAATAAAGAAAATTAAATACATTTAGAACAGACTTTATAAAGGGCAAGAGCCAGGACCCTTGGTACCAGGGCAAACCCCAGTTAGTTTTCTGTGATGAATGGTAGTGACTTCTGGACAGTCAGCCCTGGGACTGGTGAGCGCTATCCTAGTCCTGCGTGCGTGTACACCAAGATATGCCACAGAGGGTTTTGTTCCATAAAGATAAAACATGGGTAATGCAAAATGTAACATTTTAATCATTTTTATGTGTTTAGTTGCAGCAACTGTAGTCACACTGTTGTGGGACAATCACCATTATCCGTTTCCAGAACATTCTCAGCCGCCTACTCTCAAACTCTGTTCCCAGTAATTACACAGTCTCATCCCCATCCTCCTGTTCCCATTGTTGCATGCTTTTATAAGAAAAGCTTTACTGAAGCACAGCCACATTATCTGTTTTCATTGCCTATTTTTATTGCACAAGGGTAGAAAGCAATTCTTACAGAAAAAAACTCCAGGGGACCTGTCCAACAGTTTATAAAAAAATTATCAAACACTGGTCTACAGTATCCCAAACCAGTGGTAAGAAAGTCAGTACTGATAAGACACTACCAGAGAAATTATTACGTTCTTAAGACATAGTCGGCAACAGGAAATGGGAAAATCTCTTTTTATATTCAAATCAAACCTATCTCTTGCTCATGTCTACCTAGAAGGACAAGTAGGCAAGGAACGCAGGTTTAAATTTATAGCTTTGTTTAAAAAAATAGACATAGAGTCCTTAACTGCCAGTATTTTAGAATGGCCTTGCTTGGATCTTTGTAGAAGAATCAAGTAGAAATAGATGTCCTTAAGGAAAGAGGAAATGTGGACATGGAGATAGATAGGAACAGAGGCAAACACCAAGAGAAGAGAAAGACAGAAATTGGAATGATGCTTCCACCAACAGGAATGGCCAAAGATTGCCAACAATATGAAACACATTTGTCGTCATAGTCTAGCAAACCAATATAAGTGGGAATATAAGGATAAATGGGCAGATCTCCAGAGGACAAGTGCCACCTATCTCAGATTTAATGATTACAGTGTCCTTTAGCAACCTCGGTGGTACAGGGCAATTGTTTGATACAGTGACTATGAGACTGGAATTTTGGCCAGCAAACAGCATATTCCCTTAGTCCAAACTTTCCTTTTATAAGAAATTGGAATATATCCTTCAATAATGATTATAAGCATACCACAATAAATACACAAACCAGTGATAGTTACTTATTATCCAGTGTTATGCACTATACATAATTTTATGTGGTAGACTTTTATTTACAACTGGTAATATAGTCGGTTGGTTTATACCATTATCACCAGTATAATAGGCTGAACTGCAAAATCACTAGGTGACAGGAAATATTCAGCTCTATTATGATCTTACAGGGGTGCCACCCAATATGTGGTCCCTTATTGAATGAAAGCTCATTACATGCTGCATGATCATGTAAATACCTGGAAAAGATTTCAAATATGTACATGCTTGTATAAATGTATAAGGCATCTAATGCAAGAATTAAGGGGCTTCTGTTTTCAGAGAACTTAAAACAACTTCTCTTGACTACTATATCCTCCTTGTATAGAACTTGGAACTGCAAAGATAGTGGCTGAGGGCTGATGTGTTTGGTGGCCAGGTTGGAGAATATAATTAAACAGCATCTTTATATCAACATCCTGTGCTGAGGGCTGGGCCTGTGGAAATGGACACATCCTGTCTCCCGTCTCCCTTCTACTGTTGTGCAAGAACTCACATCCCTGAATAAAACGCTAGCACCGCTCATGTTTAAATAATATTTCCTCTGTTGTGGATAGAGAGCTGGACTAACATGTTAGTTATGAGTACCCACAGCTTCAGTATTCGCAAATGCTACTCCTCCAAGGCCCCCAGCCATAGCAAATAGTGGTGAAGGAAAGAAGAGAAACCCATTGTTCTGCTAAGAGTAAACCCAGAGAAGGACAGCAGAGTCTCCCTCCAAGGAGCAGTGCTTCAATCTGAAGAGGAAATCTGTCAGGAAGAGAAAGAGGGGGGCAAGCCGTGTACCTCAAAGAAACTTTCGGGGAGGATTCTTAACTTGATTAGAGGACTGGAACTGAAAACCAGTGAAACCACAGGAGCCAAGGCATAGAACATTTTGATTTTTTTGGCCAGTTCAGGCATCTGTGAAAATCCTATAAAACCTGTGGGAACAAAAGGAAGATAAGAGGAATTCCATCTTCTAGGACTTTCCTTCTCAGAAAAGACAGGAGAGATCTAGCATCACTTGTGAGGCCCTCCAGAAACAGCCAGAGAAGGGTGCAGAGATACCACCCTGAGGAAGCAGAGCACCTGAAATGAGGCCCTGGTCAGCAGCAAACATGGAATTTAATCAAACTGGAAAAATGTGAGGCATTGCTAAGTGCTTTTATTGAGTCTAAACTCAGACATGCATAGGATGAAATCAAGAATGAGAAAACCCCAAAATCTTTCTGTATTCTTTAACAATGTAAATGTAAGTCTATAACATTTCATGAGCTCTGCTCTAAATCTTTTGAATCCCCTGGCCCTCCCTTCACCCCTAATTTACAGATCCAAACAGTTCCAAACATTTAGAATTCCCTAGAGTGTCATGTAGCTTTCTCTCTGGTCAGTTCTTGCAACTTGGTCTGAGAATGTAACTTTAGAAAACACTGGAGCATCACAAGTAAACTGTCCATTAAAGAGGAAGTATAAATGAAGAATGATGTCCAGTCACATTTTCCTGAACATGGGAAAATTTAACTCAATATATCAGTAAGACTAAAAGCATTCATAGTTGTCACAGGAGGGTATCGTACAGAAAGCATGTGATATGAAGACAGAATTGTTAGTCACTAATCACAAAGAGGATAATTAATTGAATTCTGAGGCTGGTCCTTAGACTTTCATTAGAGAAATTTGCTTGTTACAACGATAGACAGTTTGTATTTTCTTTAAACTTTACTATATTTTATGTTGCAAAAACATGCTCATTGTATGATCAGCATAACATAAAATATACATATAGATTTTAAAAACTGTAAATAAAGTCTAACCTGTCAGACTTTTATTCTTCTTAAATTTTACCTCTTTCCTTTCACCCCTTCTCTCTCCTTATTTATTTATGTATTTACTTACTTACTCAAATTTTATGTACTGAGGATATTCCAGAGCTTTGTATAAGCTAAACAAGTGATCTATGACTTGGCCACATCCCTAAACCCTCCACTGAACTTTAAAAGTTAGTCTATCCTGTTATTTCCACTTTGAAGTCTCTGACCTTACAAAACATGTATTTCTTCAACCTTCTCACATCCTTATATTGTTTAACAGGAAAAATACATGAGAGGATGTGGCTTAGATTGATTCTTTCAGTTTGAAGAGAACCATATATACTGTAATCAGAAATTTATAACAATATCTAAATTCCCATATAAAACCAAATATGAACATCTTTTTGCCCTTCTATGATTTCTTCTTGACATTTTAAAAAGGAACAGTATTTGAACTTTGTGGCTTTCTTATGTTTCTCTTATAAAAACCACCTAAACTCCATAGTATATCCATTCTATCAACTTCCAGGCTTTACTGCATACATACCGATGGTGGTGCCTTGAGAATGACCCACATAATACAACTGCTTTTGGCCAGTTTTATTCAGAATGTAGTCAATGGAAGCTGGGAGATCATATTTTGCCATCTCATCAAAACTAGAATCCAAAAACAAACAAACAAACAAGATCTTGTTCATTGAACAGTTGCATAAATACACAAACACTAAGCTTGGAACTTGAACTATTGTCACATACTGAACTGGATACGCCAGTGCTGAGCTCAGGAAACTGAACTTTACCCAGGATGACAGAACATCCTTGGATTCCATTGCATATGCGCCTCTCAGAAAGAAAAATTACCCTAATCTTTCTCTATACCCTCTGCTTGTCTACTTGGTTTCATCCATGTTGCTGCATAAAAATGTAGTTGTTCAGTCACATTTTATTTTGTTACTACACCACACTCTCATTGCCCATTTAGAATACTCATCTGTGGCATGTATTGAGGTAAATTCCAGACTTTCACTATCACAAACAGGTGACAATAAGCATTTTCTGATATATGCCTTTTGGTAAAAGTTCTTATTCATGGATTTCATGTCATCAGAGAAACTCTGGTTGTATAAATAGAAGTCAAGACTAGAGATGGCCAGAATTCTGACCTTTGCTAATACCTCCAACATCAAGCTGTAGCACCAAAACAGGTAGGTGGAAGTGGGGTCTGTGTGTGTGTGTGTGTGTGTGTGTGTGTGTGTGTGTGTGTGTTTGTGTGTGTGGGGGGGGGGTGTGGCTGTGTGGCTGTGTGTAGCATCACAATCAGATGAGCCAAGTGTTCTCATATATTTTACAATAGGCCAGGCTCTGGTCTGTGAGGTTCTTTACCTGTATCTTCTACTATTAGCCTTCTATAAACCTTATGAGATAAATGTTCATTAGTCCATGTCATAAATAATCAGATGCCAGGGTTTATATAATGTATCCAGTGTCATATGACACCGATTGGTGGATCCAGAAGTAAGAACAGAAAAGAGTTTCTGAAAGGAAGAAAAGTGAACATCTGGGAAATGTGTTTGTGGAGAAGAGGAAGAGTAGCTGACTCCAAAGTCCCCAGACCACAAGGAATGCCAAAATTCGCAGCTGAATCTCATTATGAATGTAATTGTTTCTCTAATTTAACTTAATACTCATTATTAAATTCCTGGTAAGGTTTACAACTTCAGAGTTATTTATGGAAGGACTCTTCTGCTGAAGTCCTGGGTATCTTTCTGCTTATTAGGTGTCACAGAAATGAATTCAAGTCATAATCAACTGCAATGATGTACCTGAAAGCCCAGAATTCATCCTGAGAAACTGAGAGAGTCTTGTGTTTCCGAGACCACGTGTTTCCTCTACTGTTCCCCATCCACACATCAAAACCAGCATCAGCAAGCATGAATCCCAGGCTGTTGTTGTCGGTGTTTGTAACCCAGTTACTGGAATCGGCTATGAAACCATGCTGAAGATAGACAACTGGTTTGGGAACTGAAAAACATTCATGTTTAAGGATAGAAAGTATAAATTTCACAACAAACATGATGTCTTGATGAGCACAAAATTGTTTAAGAAAACAAACCAGTTTAAGAAATTGTTTAAGAAAACAAACTTTGTTTGTTTAACCAAAACAAACAAAGAACTTGAAATAAATTTAAATAGGAGTGAGCCCAGCATCAGTTGCTCATGCCTGAAATCAGAGCTACTTAGGAGAAGATCTGAGGATTGCAGTTACAAGTCAGCCTGGACAGAAAAAATCCCTGTCAGATTCTTATCTCCAATGATCCACTCAAAAGCTAGAAGTGGCACTGTTGCTCAAGTTACAGCACTAGTCCTAAGCCCAAAGATGCTCAGGGAGTTAGCCCAGGCCTTGAGTTCATGTACCAAAACTGGAAAAAAAAAAGTATTGAAATGGTATTTTGCATTTGTATAACACTATAGACATATTTTAAAGAGTACTAACAAGATAGAACCAAAATTGGATGTGTGTGTGTGTGTGTGTGTGTGTGTGTGTGTGTGTGTGTGTGTGTGTGTGTGTGTGTGTGTTGGGGGTTGGGGAGACTCAAAATCAAGGCCTGATTGCTGTCCTGTAGCTTTTTTGCTTAAGGCTATTGATCTGCTACTAGAGCCATCGCTCTATTTCCAGCTTTCTGTCAGTTAATTGAATATAAGTGTCTATGAATATGTCTTGACATAAAAAATATATACAGGGGCTGGGAAGGTGGCTCAATGGTAGAGCGCTTGCCTTGCATGCTTGAGGCCCTGGGTTCGATTCCTCAGCTCCACATAAGCAAAAAGAAAAAAGCCGGAAATGGCACTGTGGCTCAAGTGGTAGAGCATTAGCCTTGAGCTGAAGAGCTGAGGAACAGCGCCCAGGCCCAGAGTTCCTGCCCCACGAATGGACCCTCCCCCCAAAAAAAGATTATATACAAAAGGGGCTGGGATATAGCATAGAGGAAAAGCACTTGCCTAGCAAATGCAACATATTAGGGTCAATCCCATTACCTAAATGAAAAGACCTAAAATATAAACATATATGCAAAAGTTAAAAATCTATGAACATTTTTATGTGATTAGGTTGGCTGTAATTTAAATGCTATCTAAAGATTTTTGTAAGATTTAAGATTAACACAATAACATAAAATGAGTTCCTCATTCTCTATTAAAATAACTGATTGTGTAGTATTAACCTTATCAAGAATTGAACAAATACACACAAACACACACACACACACACAAATACACCAAGAACAACACTACCTAAGTAGTAACTAGGGCAGAGATCACTTTTCTATTCATGTCTAGAATCTTTAAATGGTCACATTCAACTGACTAAACATCAAAAACTGTAATGCTAATTGTTGCTGTCTAGTTTTTCTGTTTCTCAAGTATATAACTGTGGAGAGCTGCGGGAGCCGACCAAAGATGGCGCGGCCACATGGCACGGCCAAGCCAAAGATGGCGCTGGCTTCCACCTTCCGCCTTCCTGATGGCGAGTGCTCTCTGTAAAAAACAACTCCTTATATGGCTATGGCTTGGCTACTGGCTTGCTTCCGTGTTTGTGACCCTATTGGTATATGCCACGTGGCACCTCGGGATTGGCCATCCAGGAGGCTTATAACCGGAGTGCGGGTGCGGGGCGAAAGAGAAGCTAATAATCAAGGTTCCTGAATAAACTGCTTTGAGAAGAATCCCGGGTCGTGTCTTCCTTGCTGGTCGAGGTGGATGCGACAAGTGGTGGCCCGTACGGGGAAACTAACTCTACAAGGGATCCAGAACTCTTGGCAGTCAGGGTGGTACACCAGTAAGTTCCCAGGTAAGTGGGAATCCGCGATTAAAGCGGGCATAATACGGGGCTCTTCTCTGTAGATAAAGAGAGAGCGGAAACCCGGGAAGAAATACAGGCCTAAAGTGAAAGTAAGAATATAAATATAAAAAATAAAAAAAGGGAGTAAAAAAAGATAAAATTTTTATAACTGAGATAGGCGCCGCGACGTCTCATCCAATTTTTCTGGCCCTGAATGAGCTCCTACGCTCAAAAAGACTAAAGTTTAAGAAGGGTGTTTTACAGAGTTTCCTTGAAGAATGCAACATTGTAGCTCCTTGGTTCATAGTGTCCGGGAGCCTTACAGTAGCTTCGTGGGAAAAATTAGGGAGGGATTTGGACTTTGCCTATGAACAGGGCACATTAAAGGCAGGAGTCCGCACCATTTGGAAACTGATAAGGGGCTGCCTGGAGGACCAGCGCTGCTGTGAGGTTATAGAAAATGGACAGTCAGCACTGGAGCAGTTACAGGAGGAGAGGTCAGAGAAGGCGATCAGTGAAAAGGGAGACAGTAGACAGGGCAAAAGGGGGCAACTATACCCAGATCTGTCTGAGCTGAAATCGGAAAGAGAAAGTTCCAGCGAGTTAGAGGAGGAAGAAGTGAGAGCACTTATTCAACAGATGAAAAGGAGCCGTATAAAAAAGGGAAAACATAAGCTAAGCCAACCTGTGCTTAATGAGGACGTAAAAAGAACTTCCGGCCGCTTATTTTAGATATTGGTATGGGAATCCGAGATCAACTGAGGCTTGGACAAATGCTACTGGATTTGCTGGTACTGTTTTAGGCAGATATTATGAAAGTTTAAAGTTAAGCAGAGACCCGTGGCCTGTAAAACAACCTAAATGGGCCCCTTTTTGCTTGCCTGACCGTATGGGGGAGGCTTGGCCTTGGACAGGTTGCCAATCACTACAGGTTATTTGGGCTGATGAGTCTGAGCGTTTTTCTTTTTCCCCTAGTGTCTTGTCTGATGCTAGTGTACAATTTAGGGCTGGAATTAATCCCTTTAATAATTGGCTGTTATGTGGTCTTAGTGGAAGTTGCTTGCAGGCTGAACCTATAGTTATGCTGCAAGGGGGTCACTTTTTTATAGCAAACATGACTTGTAATTTGATTAGTACTGCCCGTACTGTGCGTGCCAATTGTCGTTTCAGTAAAAATTATACGGTAATCAGCTATCAGCCTACCCCCGTGTGTGTGGTTTCCCCTTTTGTGTTTTTGGTAATTAACAACATCTCTATATGCTCAGATGATGTGTGTGCTTGCACTAATGAAACCTGCTATTATGCTACCTGCTGGAGTTCTCAGTATCTGTTAGCTATAGTTGCACGCATTCCACGTTGGGTGCCTGTGCCAGTAGATGCTTCTCAAACTGTAACCTTGTTTAGACATAAGAGAGATTTTGGCATCACTGTGGCCATTGTAACTGCTATAGCTGTAGCTGCTGCAGGTGCGACCGCTGCCGCTGTCGCCATGTCGCATACTGTGCAGACGGCTCAGACTTTAAATAACTTGTCGGCTACTACAACCAGAGCTCTGGATTTACAACAAGTGGCCATTGCACAATTAAAAGGAGGACTGATGCTGTTAAATCAAAGGACTGATCTTGTGCAGGAACAGGTTGATATTATGTGGCAATTGGCTCAGCTGGGAAGTATTCAAAAATATGAAGGGCTTTGTATTACTGCTATTCAGTACTATAACTATACTCAGGCAGCAAATTTGTCTAAACAACTGTCAAGTTATCTTTTAGGCAACTGGACGGGAGAATTCGACCAATTGATGTTGCAGCTATGATCGGCCATTGTCGCGGTAAACTCCACCTGGATGAATGATGCCCTATTACAAGATGTTTCCTCCTGGATTTTGACAGCTGTGGATCATTTGAAGGAGTGGGCGGGATTAGGCTCCCTTATCGGTATCCTGGCATTGGTGATCTTGCTGTGCCTGTGGTGCATATGCCGGATTAGGAGCTCGCAGCGCAGGAGTATGGCTATGGTGGTCCAGGCCTTCACTGCCATTGAGGCCGGACAGTCCCCCCACGTGTGGCTTGCCACGTTAACGGAATAGCACAGGGTGTAAGGCAAACACACTGCACTTGGGCAAACGCACTGTACATGGAAATCACTTCCTGGCGTGAGCCCAAGAAAAGCATGTTGGGTTGCAAGTGGGTTGATGCCCAAGGTCCCACCTCTGCAAAAAAGGCATCGGACGGGCCTGGTCATCACTGGGGAAGGCGCCCCTCAGGCGAAGACCAGTGCAAGGTCCTCTCATTAATGTTTTAGACAGAGGCCCAACCTCTACTCTTACCTGTCACTTAATAAAACAAAAAGGGGGAGCTGTGGAGAGCTGCGGGAGCCGACCAAAGATGGCGCGGCCGCATGGCACGGCCAAGCCAAAGATGGCGCTGGCTTCCACCTTCCGCCTTCCCGATGGCGAGTGCTCTCTGTGAAAAACAACTCCTTATATGGCTATGGCTTGGCTACTGGCTTGCTTCCGTGTTTGCGACCCTATTGGTATATGCCACGTGGCACCTCGGGATTGGCCATCCAGGAGGCTTATAACTGGAGTGCGTGTGCGGGGCGAGAGAGAAGCTAATAATCAAGGTTCCTGAATAAACTGCTTTGAGAAGAATCCCGGGTCGTGTCTTCCTTGCTGGTCGAGGTGGATGCGACATATAACTGCTTCAGGTACAAAGCTAAAAAGGCATTACCACATCAAGCAGGTACCCTCTGAATTAATGGTACCACACCAAACAGGCTTGCATCCATGTAACAGGTTTACTGACATCTGTAATGCTGTTGATCTTAACTAGTGTTGTAAAATACTACCTGCAACAAAAATGACTAGATTATTGAATCAGTTATTGTTTAAACTTTCACCATGGCTACTCTTAAGTCTTTTGCCATTGCAGATTTAATCCTTCTCTGTAACATCAGAAGTTATGTATATATAAGGTTAACTTAGCTTAGGGAAGTCTTACTTGGCTGATATTTCTGTTGCTTAAGTGTTGGGCCACTTTTGTGTCTTACTGGCACAGGCTCACACTTGAACTGCCACTTACCCCCTCCACATGGGATCAAATCTAATAGATAAATATCTCGCTAGCCATAAAAACCAACTGAGATATCTGATCACAACAATTAGAAAAATAAAAATAACCCCCCCCAGAAACAAACTTTATCCTGACAATGAGAGGTGATGTTGTCAGATGGCAAGTAGAGTCACCTGTGCTTGCTCTTTTTTTGTTGTTGTTGTGAAAATACCATACAGAGGGGTTACAATTACATGGGCAAGATAATAAGTACATTTCTTATCAAGTATTGTAGCCTCCTCCTTTGTTTCCCCTTCCCATCTCTTCCTATCCTTCCCCCTAACCCCCACACAATTCACCCCCCCCACCAAACCAAACTTGTAAAGTTTCAACATAACGACTTGTACATCTCATTGTTGCAATGGGTCCACCTGTATCCCTATTTAAACGATTTGATTTCCCCTTACCCTCCACAAATTATAACAACATCAAATACAGTGAAAGCAGGGTTTATGCGGTGGGGGAGGGACATACAAAGCAACAAAGAAATAATCATATAAATGTGTTAGAAACAATCACAAGAAAGAAAAAAAAAACATTTGAGTACATATCTTAGGGTTCATTTCCATAACATCACCTTATCTGACCTTTTAGTTATTGCAAATAAGGGAAACCATGGGACCTATGTTTCTTTGGGCCTGGCTTACTTCACTTAATATAATTTTTTCCAGGCCTTTCCATTTCCTAACAAATAGGGCAATGTCATTCTTTCTAATGGAGGCATAGAATTCCATTGTGTATATATACCACATTTTCTTGATCCATTCATTTACTGAGGGGCATCTGGGTTGGCTTCATATATTAGCTATAGTAAATAATGCTGCAATAAACATAGTCGTGCTGGTAGCTTTAGTGTGGTCTTGTTTGTGAACATTTGGGTAAATACCCAAAAGTGGGATTGCTGGGTCATAAGGGAGCTGTATGTGGAGTCTTTTGAGGAAACACCATACAGCTTTCCAAAGTGATTGAACAAGTTTACACTCCCACCAACAACGCAGTAAGGTTCCCTTCTGTCCTCATCCCCTTGAGCATCTGTTGTTATTAGAGTTCTTGATTTTAGCCATTCTAACTTGGGTGAGGTGGTATCTCAATGTTGTTTTAATTTGCATTTCTTTTATGGCTAGGGAGGTTGAGCATTTCTTCAGGGGTCTATCGGCCATCCCTCTTTCCTCTTCAGAGAAGTTTCTCTTTAAGTATTTAGCCCACTTAATTTCTTGGGCAGTTGTTTCTTTGAAGATTTGTTGTTGGGGTATTTAATTTTTTGAGTTCCAGGTATATTTTAGATATGAGACCCTTGTCCGTTGTATAGCTACTGAAGATCTTCTCCCAATCCGTGGGCTTTCTGTTGATCTTGCTAGCTATGTCCTTTGCCATGCAGAAGCTCTGCAATTTCATGCAATCCCATTTGTCCAACCTTTCTTTGATTTGTTGTGTTTCTGGGTCTCTATTAAGAAAATTTCAGCCTGTGCCAACAAGACCTAGGCTTTCTCCTATTCCATCCTGTAAAGTTTTCAGAGTGTCTGCTTTGACTCCGAGGTCTTTGATCCATTTGGAGTTGATTCTGGTGCAGGGTGATATATGTGATATATAAGGATTTAGCTTTAGTTTTCTACAAGTAGTTAACCCATTTTTCTAGCACCATTTACTGAAGAGGCTGTCTTTCTTCCATTCTATTTTTTCAGCTCCCTTATCGAAGATTAGATGGTTATAAGACTGTAGGTTCATTTCTGGGTTTTGAATTCTATTCCATTGGTCCTGAGGTCTGTTCTTGTGCCAGTACCAAGCTGTTCTGATTACTAGGGCTTTATAGTAGAGTTTGAAATTTGGTATTGATATTCCTCCAGCACTGTTTTTTCTGTTGAGGATCGTTTTTGCTATTTGGGGTCTTTTATTGTTCCATATGAATTTTTGGATTGCCTCTTCTATTTCCTTGAAGAATGAGGGTGGAATTTTGATAGGTATCGCATTGAATTTGTAGATAGCCTTTGGAAGTATTGCCAGTTTCACAATGTTGATCTTTCCAATCCAGGAGCATGGGAATTTTTGCCACTTTCTAAGTTCTGTTTTGATTTCCTTTTTCAAGTTTTTAAAGTTTTCATCATAGAGGTACTTCACTTCTTTGGTTAAGTTAATTCCCAGGTATTTTATTTTTTGTGGGGCTATTACGAATGGAATTGCTTTCCTAATTTCAGCCACACTTTTCTCATTGTTGGCATAGAGAAATTCCATTGATTTTTGAGGGTTAATTTTATACCCTGCTACTTCACCAAAGTTTTAAATCAGCTTGAGTAATTTGGGAGTGGAATCTATGGGATTCTTTAAAACAAAGATCATGTCGTCTGCAAAGAGAGAGTTTTATTTCTTCTTTCCCTATTTGGATCCCCTTTATATCTGCATCTTGTCTTATTGCTGTAGCTAGGCATTCTAATACTAGATTGAAGAGAAGTGGAGAGAGTGGACATCCTTGTCTTGTTCCTGAGATAAGAGTAAATAGCTTTAGTTTTTCCCCATTAAGTATAATGTTGGCTGTAGGTTTGTCATATACAGCCTTTATTGTATTGAGGAATGTTCCATGGATACCTACTTTTTCCAGAACCTTCATCATAAAGGGGTGTTGGATCTTGTCAAATGCTTTTTCTGCATCTATTGATGTTACCATGTGGTTCTTATCCTTGCTCCTATTGATGTGATGACTTACATTAATTGATTTGCATATATTGAAACAGCTTTGCATCCTTGAAATGAATCCTGTTTGATCGTGGTGTATGATTTTTTGGATGAATTGTTGAAGTCGATTGGCCAAAATTTTGTTGAGAAGTTTTGCATCAATGTTCATCAAAGAAATGGGTCTATAGTTCTCTTTCTTTGATGAGTCCCTGCCTGGTTTTGGGATGAGGGTTATGATGGCTTCATACAATGTGTTCGGTAGTGAACTTTCTCTTTCAATTTCATTAAAGAGTTAGGGGAGTATTGGTGTGAGCTCTACTTTGATGGCCTTGTAAAGTTCTGTTGTAAAACCATCTGGTTCTGGGCTTTTCTTAGATGGGAGGTCTCTTATTGCTGTTTCTAGTTCAATGCTTGATATGGGCCTGTTAAGATGGTTTAACTCATCTTGGTTTAGTTTAGGCATGTCAAGATTTGCTAGGAAAAGGTCCATTTCTGCCAAGTTCTCGAACTTATTAGCATAAAGGTTTGAGAAGTATTCCCTTATAATATTCTGAATCTTGGTTGTTTCTGTGGTGATGTTTCCATTCTCATCTCTGAGTTTATTTATTTGGGTGTGTTCTCTTCTTTTTCTGATAAGATTTGCTAAGGGTCTGTCAATTTTGTTAATTTTTTCAAAGAACCAACTCTTTTCTTTCTTGATTCTTTCTATAGTATTTTTGGATTCTAATTCATTTAATTCTGATTTAATTTTAATTATTTCTTTCCCTCTACTGGATTGGGGATTATCTTGGTGCTCTTTTTTAAGGAGGCTCAGATCTCTCACTACCTTTTTGGTTTCAGATCTCTCCAATTTGTTGATGTAGGAACTCAGAGCTTTAAACTTGCCCCTGAGTACTGCCTTTGCTGTGTCCCAGAGGAGCTGGTAATTTGTGTGCTCATTTTTGTTGAATAGCATGAACATTTGAATTTCCTTTCTAATCTCTTCCGTGACCCACTCATGATTCAGCAGTGTGTTGTTCAGCCTCCATGTGTTACAGGACTTTCTTTGGTGGCTTTTGGTGTTGAGTTCTAATGTTATTCCCTTGTGGTCAGAGAGAATGCAAGGTATAACTGCAATGTTTCTGAATTTGGACAAGTTTGTTTTGTGGCCTAATATGTGATCTATTTTAGAAAATGTTCCATGTGCTGCTGAGAAAAATGTGTATTCTGATGCTGCTGGGTGAAAAATTTGGTAGATCTGTTAAATCTAGTTGATCTATGCAGTTGTTTAGATCTGTGGTTTCTCTGTTGACTTTTTGCTGAGTTGATCTATATATTGGGGAAAGTGGTGTGTTAAAGTCCCCAACAATTAATGTCTTTGGATCTATGTGGGATTTGAGGGAAAGTAGTATTTCTTGGATAAATTTGGATGGTCCGTTGTTTGGCAAACAGATATTTAGAATTGTAATATCCTCCTGAAGGAGAGATCCCTTAATTAGTATGTAGCCACCTTCTTAATCTCTTCTCACTAATTTTAATTTGAAGTCCACTTTATCTGATATTAGGATTGCAACTCCTGCCTGTTTATGGGGGCTGTTTGCTTGGTAGATTTTTTTCCAGCCTTTCACATTGAAAATGTGTTTGTTTTTATGGGCAAGATGTGACTCCTGAAGGCAGCAGATAGAAGGATCTTTCTTTTTAATCCAACTAGACAGTCTATGCTGCTTAATTGGAGAGTTAAGTCCGTTAATGTTGAGAGATACGACTGAGTGGTATTTGGAAGTTCCTACCATTTTATCCACTTTCTTGGGGGCTGCAGCAACTGGGTTCTTCCTATGGTTCTTGGATTCTCAGTTTGGGTGTGGTTTCTTGGCCTTTATTGTGGTCTTGTTGGTTTTCTATGTATAGGACATCCTTAAGAATCTTTTGTAGGGCTGGTTTGGTGGAGATATATTGTTTCAATTTTTCTTTGCTATGGAAGGTTTTTATTTGACTTTCAGTTATGAAGGAAAGTTTAGCTGGGTACAGTATTCTTGGTTGATAGTTGTTTGTCTTTAGGGCATGGCATACATCATTCCAGGCTCTTATTGCATTGATTGTCTCTGCTGAGAAGTCTGAGGTGATTCTAATTGTTTTCCCTTTATAGGTGATTGATCTTTTCTCCTTGACAGCTTCAAGAATCCTGTGTGGATTATAATGTGATGGTGGGATGTCCTATTCTGGTCTGGTCTATTTGGAGTTCTAAAAGCTTCTTGTATCTGAATAGGCCTATCTTTTTGCATGTTTGGGAAGTTCTCTGCTAGGATCCTGTTAAACAAATTTCCTAGAACATTAGCTTCTGTTTCTAGGTGCTCCTCTACACCCATTATCCTCAGATTAGGCCTTCTGAAGGTGTCTTCCAAGTGTTGAATAGATCTATCATACTTCTTGGATTTGTCTTGGATGGTTGTATGTTCTTTCTCTATAATATCTAGGCTGTCTTTAATCCCTGAGATTCGATCTTCTGCATGATCTAACCTGCTGTCAAGTCTTTCTACTTTGTTTTTTTTTTTATTTCTTTTCCTTCTAATTGGTCAGCTTTGATGGCTTCAAATTCTTTGTTGGAGCTTTGTTGTAGATCTTGTATGAACTTCTTTACTTCCTTAATTTGGTGTTCAGTGTTTATTCTGAAATCACTTAGTTGATTGGTTATGGTTTCCTTGGACTCCCATTCCTTCTGTTGCGTTCCATTCAGCATTCCCTTTGTGGTCTCCCTGACTTCCTTCAGCTCTCTGTTAATGGATTCCATGAATGCCTTTAGTGATCTTTGTATATTCTCATCCTGCTCTCTCAATTCCTATAGTACTCTTTGCTTAGCTTCCTCACATTCACGCAATTTCTGTAGTTCTTTTTGAGTGCTCTCAGCCTGCTCACGCCATTCCTGACTTTCTCTTTGAATGTTCTCAAGCTGCTCACACAATTCCTGTATCAATTTTTGAGTAGCTTCCTCATGCTCATGATATTCCTGTATTAATCTCTGGTTTGCCTTCTCTCTCTCCCTATCATGCTCATACAGAGTCCTTTGCAGGTTTTCAATCTTTTCATTTACCATGTTTACCAGCAGTGGTTGTATAGCTATTTGGGAACTCTCCTCTGGATTATTCATTATCTGTTCTGTCCCCTGATTATCATGAGTGGGAGTTGAGATACACGGACTTGCCATTTTTCTTGTGTTTTTCCAGCTTACTCTGCCCATTTGGGATGAAAGCAACACCAGTTTTGTACTAGAACATTATTTTAAGGCAAGCATCAACCAAAGTCTGTACTTGCACAGTCAAAAGTCTGCATATACAATCTAGTTCAACAGATATATTTATTCAACATCAAACACCTATATATTAATGGGCTACAAACCTCAAAGAAGAATTTGGCAAACCAGAAATTATTAGGCTTAGGTAGAGATGTGGGTAAAAATAGGAATAGAGGGATGTGGAAAGGCAGAGGGAGAGTTAACTTAACTAAGTCCTAATCTCAAAGTGGGAAATAGGTTGGATAGAATGAAAGTAGAGAGAGAGAAAAAAACAAGAAAGAGAAAGAAAAAAGAGACAAGAAAAAATAGAAAAGCAAAAATTAAAAATTAAAAAGTGCAAAGCTTAAAAATTATGCAAATGAAAACAAAATGTTCAGAGAAGAACATGAATAGAATGAGAGAAGGGGAGGGATACAAAGGAGAAGTGAAAAACTTAAAAATGAAAATGCTTAAAATATTATATAGGTATAAAGAGGTAGAACTGCTATTAAGGAATTTAAGTCTAAGAGGTTTTGAATTGAGTAATAAATTTCTGGCTTGTGTGTGCACATGGGGGATAAGGTCTAATAATCGATTACGGGTATATCTGAGAATGAACAGAACAGCAATAAAGTCACACAAAGAAGAACGAAAGAGAAGAAAAGGTGAAAGAATGAGAGAGAAAGAAAAAAAAAGGATCAAAAGTTCAGTAGATCTAATCAAAAAAAATTTTTAAAGGAAATAAAAAAGTAAAAAACACACACATATGCCTAAAATAAAAATTATAAGAGGAAAAAAAAGTTACTAGAAAACAATTTTTTTAACTTAAAAATTAAAAATTAAAAAAAGTTTTAGAAAAAAAATTTTTTTATGAAAGGTACAAAAAAAAATAGTTCTTTGATTTTTTGGGGAGGGATGGGAAGATCCTGTATCTCTGTTGTGTCCTTAACCAGTCTCTTGGTGGAGTCTCTGGTCTGCTTGTGGTGTTTGATTTTCCTGTGGCTTGATTGACTTCTTAAGTCAGTTTGTTTGAGCAGGCAGAAAAATGCTCTGCTTTACCCAGGATTTTGTGATCCTCCTCCCAGGCTAGTTCAATGGGTGGGAGATCTGCTTTGAGTATTACAAAAGAGGGAGATGGCTGTTTACTCTAGTTTGGAGATGCTGTGCTGAGGCTAGGTTCTGGGTAGAGTTGAGGCCTTTCAGCAAACAGCAGCTTTTCCCTGAGGGGCTAGCTTGTGAGATACTCACAGAGCCCAGCCTGGAGCCATTCTCAGGGTTTATCAATCAATTGATTGTCAAGGCAGCTTTAGGGAGAGGCAGCCTCTGGCTCTGTTTACCTAGTGTAGAAAGCCAGTCCTGGGGCTGGTGGCCCAGGCTGGGTGACTTTTCCCTGGGTGGAGCTGAGCCTGGCCGGCCAGGTTACTTTCCTGTGACCTGCTAAAGGACTCTAGTTTTCTTCCAAGGCCGGAGTTGGAGCTAGTTGCTTAGCTGGGCCTTTGTCAGTATCCAAGATGGAGATCTCCAGTAGTGGGGTGGGGGGAGGGGTGGCCTTCCCTCCTCTGTTCCCTGAGAAGGAGTGAGGATGTCAGCCTTCTACTCACACTGGAGTCTTGGTTCCTGGGTTGTCTCTGGTCTGCGAACTGCAGGATGAAGATGTCTGCTCCTTGTCAGTTCTTGCTGGTGTTGAGTAGAGTCCGCTCACCCGCCCCACCACAGCAGCAGCCACGGCTGCTGGCAAGTGCTCAGATCTATCTCCTTGCCTGTATTTTCCCCCTCTGGCCTAACTCTCTGTACTGTGATGGCACACTTGGTGTGATTCTGGTTTAGGACTGTTCACTGGAACTCTAAAACTGCTTTCTATATGAGAGCTTGTTTAGCCTCCAGCTTCTCCTCTGCCATCTTCTGGAATGCATGCTTGCTCTTTCAAACATAACTAGAGCCAGTAAGTTAAGATTAATGGCTCCTGAGTATGGCTACCTGATGCTCATGCTTGTCTACTCCTACAGGACAGGGACTTACACTATTCCCTTTCCTTCACTCAAAATTTCTCTCTCTTTTTTGGGGGGGGAGGGGGGTTTGGTGATGAGGCTTGAGCTCTGGGCCTGGGTGCTCTCCCTGAGCTCTTCAGCTCAAGCCTAGTGCTCTACCATTTGAGCCACAGTACCACTTCCAGGTTTCTGGTGGTTTATTGGAGATAAGAGTCTCACAGACTTTTCTGTCCATGCTGGCTTTGAACTGTGATTCTCAGATCTCAGGCTCCTGAGTAGCTAGGATTACAGGTGTGAGCCACCAACACCAGGCTTCACTTGCTACAGTACATGAAAAACTTAGAAGTTCCATCTTTTTAAATAAAAAACCACCCACTCAAGACAGCTTACAAACACCCTAAATTAGATGTCTACCTTTACTTACATTTGCCTTCACCCTTCTGGTCTCTTCTTTCTCTGTGGCATCTTGCAGATGCCAACTAACCAACTGGACTGGTGTTGGCACTGTGGTTTATATGTTTCCCTCTAACTCAGTCTTCTCAGATGATCAAGTCATTGTTGTTCCCTTGATGGCCCTCATCTCATCCTTGGCCAGAAGATCAAAAAGGGCAATATAAGCCCTTCCTCTCCTGGCAGCATCAAGAGTTGCAAGTGGACTAGGCAGAGGAACAGTAGTCATTACTGCCTCTCAAACTATCAAACTCCTGCAACAGCCTTTTCAAACGTCAATAGGTAACATGTTCACCTCCATAACTAGCCTCCAGACACAGAAAAATTCCCTCACAGCCATGCTACTTCAAAACTCTGGGACTGGATTTACTTAGAGCAGAAAGAAGTAGAATCAATGTTGTCTTTATGTACATGAGACTGGCACAGTCCTTCCTAGGGACAGCAGAGGGGCGCAAAGATACCGCTTCCTGACTTAGACAATTAACAGCCCACTACAAGAAACATTATAAATACTTCAGATTGTGAGGAAGGAGTGAATCTCTAGTTTTGTCTGGGAGCCTACCCTTGCAGATTTATTCCTAATAAACCTGTGCTGGGGTTGAGCCATCTCTTTGTCTACTCTTTTTCTCACCTTTTGTCCTCTTTTTAAACCTAACATGAAGATCAAGCCAGCCCAGGCAGAAAAAGCCCTGAGACTCTTATCTCCAATTAACTAGTAAAAAGTCAGCAGTGGAGATCTGGCTCAGATGGTAGTGAGCCTGCCATCAATTAAAAAGACTTAGAAAAGAGTGCTAGGCCCTGAGTTAAAGCCCTAGTATTGGCACACACAAATAACACATAAATGGAAAAAATCAAATAGAAAAAAATCACACATAAATTCAAACATGTGTCTACACACACATGTTTTCTACTCAGCTGAGACAGAGAAAATGGAAGAAGAAAACACAAGACTCAGAAAGGAAAGAAACATGAGCTCAAGCTCCCTTGAGTGTTGAGATCATTCAATAACTAAACAAACACTAATTCCGCACCAACTATATGCCAGCCATCTTTCTAAGCACAGGGAAGAATACTAAATGAATTTTTGAAAATATCCTAATGAGATACCTTTGCAATATATTAACTTTTGTTAATAAAAATAAACACTGGGTTTTTGCAAAGGGGACATAGCAAAGAACAAAACTGGCAGGAACAAAACATCATCTCTATAAAACCACCATTACATTGACCATGAATCAGACAGACCTCTGTTCTTACCATGTTTTGACATGACACCTTGAACAATCCTCAAAATGTCTATCAGCCCTGCAGAGTGAACATGATAATATGTGCCTTACACGGAACAATGATCTGTGAGAATTTTCTCTGAGAAGTTCTGAACCACTTGTCTGAAATGCAGGAAGGGTGCAATATACATCAGCTACTAATATTCCTTTGCTATTTGGACAACCTGAGCCTCAGTTTCATAAATAATTGTTCAGAGGAATGAATGAAATCACTGAGCCAAGCATGCTTGGGCATGTCTGTGGTACCATCAAGCAGAAGATTAGGGCCAGAAGATCAAGGGTTCAAAGTTAGCCTGGGCTACATAGTAAGACCCTCTCAAAAAAAAGTTTTTTTAAGGAAAAATATAAACAAAAGGAAGATAGTGCAGTGTGAAGCACAGCAAATGACACATCATTCAAACCAAACAAGAACTCACTGTGCCTTCTGCTCATCCTTTATATAGTAAACCAATGGAAATAAGCTAATTGTGAGGTGGTCAAAAATTAAAATGCAATCCATTTGGCATAATAAATCTCCATCAACAATGACAGGGACTATGCAAAAATCTAAGACCATAACTTTTTTTTGAAAAGTATACTTCAAAATTGTAGACTACCCTATACTGTAGCAGTGCAAAATAATACAAGCAATGAGGAGTATAAAATACAAAGAAGAAAATCGAAAAAAAAGATTTGCTGGAAGGAGATTATAATTGAACTGACAAATTTTAATACTGCTGTGTTTTTATATCTATAGCACTTACTTGATATCCACAGGATATTGGTCCAGGAAAATCAAGGTAGATAACAAAACCCATAAATGCGCCAATCTTTATTTTAAAAATCATAGTTTTATGTGTATAAAACTTGTGCACATATTCCCAATACTTTAAATCCATTCCAATCAACTTACGACTAATGCACTGCAAATGTTCTTTTCTTTTCTCCTCCTCCTTCTCCTCCTCCTCCTCCTCCCCCTCCTCCTCCTCCTCCCCCTCCCCCTCCTCCTCCTCCTCCTCCTCCTCCTCCTCCTCCTCCTCCTCCTCCTCCTCCTCCTCCTCCTCCTCCTCCTCTTCTTCTTCTTCTTCTTCTTCATTTGTTGTTGTTGGTAGAGGTAGCTGAACTCTGGGCTTGGATGCTGTCCCTCAGTTCTTCAGCTCAAGGCTAACACTCTACCACTTGAGTCACAGTGCCATTTGTGGCTTTTCCTACTTATGTGTTGTTGAGGAATCGAACCCAGGACCTCATGCATGCCAGGCAAGCACACTACCACTAAGCCAACTTCCCAACCCCTAAATGTTAATATTTTAAATGTTAATTATACTGTATTGTTCAAGAAATACTATTAAGATAAAAGTGTCTGTGTCTGTGTGTGTCTGTGTATGTGTATCTGAATAAGTACTAGGGCTTGAGGTCCTGTACTCATTTGGCTTTTTTGCTCACTGCTGGAACTCTACTACTACTTGACTTATATGTCCAATTCTGCTTTTATTTTTTTAATTGGAAAAAGTGTCTTACAATTTTTCCTGGCCAACCTGGCTACAAACTGTAATCCTCACATCTCTACCTCCTGAGTAGCTAGGATTAGAGGTGTAAGCCAAAGGCACTCAACTTACAACTATTTTCAATTTATGGTCGCTTAAATCTACAAATGCAACCTTCACAAATATAGAAAACCAACTATATTTTGGCAATCATTAAATTATTTTTCAAGAGCGTTCCTCTGACACAAGATAAGCTTACATGAATGACATGTCCCAGAGCTGGACAATGCAGGGGTGCAGAGTCTCATAAATTTAAAAGTGGGAGAGGAAGAATCCAAAGTCAAAGAGGCTTCTTCACTTTCTTTGGAAAACATCTGAATGAAGCAAACTGAATTTGCCGTGCAGGGATTTCAAACAATTTTGCATGTATTTCAGATGCTTTCAAGTCTTTTAAAACAGAATAGTGTAAAAATATTTTAAGAAGCCAAAGCCATGTGGGACTTTTTTTTTTTAAGATGCCTTAACTGTGCCCCACCCGTTACTTTGGTGGCTGTTTATCACAGAATTTTTTCAGTTTTGTCATTGACATCAGTCTGGTTTGTCAGATCAATTTGCTTATTGGTATATTTCCCACCCTAAATTGTTGCCTTCGCTACACTGACATAAAGAAACATCCATCCCCAAACTTCAGAAGATCACATTCTTAATTACTAAATTTAAGGCTTGAGATATTTCTGTATAGTCCAGTAACTGAAAAAGGATTTTTGATTTGCTGTTTTCAGGAATTAACCAGCTCCTTTGGCTGGATGTTCACAACTAGTATTATATCAGTACCAACCTAATAGTATAGCTATTTCCACTGAACTACAATAGTAGTGTAACATGAAATGGAACTCTAACGTTTTAAGGAAATATTTTTAAGCAAAATGCATGTAGTAAGTATATCCTATCATGAAAACTTACTCATGGAATCCATTTAGCATGGTCAGTTAATTGCCAGTTCTTTATAATTCCTCGTTTATACAGTGCATATTTCCCTCAATGTAAATTGTTCTTAAAATGAATTTTCAGCTTTCCAGTTTAGTGCCACCTCTTCAGTTAAATTTCCATGTTTGCCAATAATCACACCATTGGGAGTCTAACATTCAATGCCAGTCAGTGATGACCGCATCACAGTGAGTGGCCTTCCAGTCGTTCAGTTGTTACAGGCTGAAAATCAAGGGTCTCTCTCTTCTAGGTTGTCATTAAGTACTCTCTGTCACAGAACTTTTAGGGGTAATGGAATATCCCAAATTAAGAATTACTTCATCTTACACTTGTCTTATACTCCCTTAAAATCAGGTGCCCCATGTAAATACCTACGTCCCTGAACTGAATCTCATGCTCTTCTCCAATGGGATCAAAAACAAGGGGAAGGAAAAAGCCTTTGACTAAGATATGGATGAGGAAGAGTGAAAGGCCATTTTTATGTAGACATTGTTAGCCTTTTGTAAATACTGTAACTGGCAAGTATGACATAGAAAAGGTATAGCTAAAGCATTTTCCCTGTAAGTTGTTCACCTTTAAATATGATTGCTGCTAAAAATAGTCCTTAAAGGAAAATTGGTGCCATTTTGAAAAGGAGATCTTGTGCCATAAATGCAGCAGCACTAAACATAAACATTAGTTCACAAACTAGTGTTGTCAAATAAATGAATGAAGTAGAAAAACCTAACCAATAATGTTTCACTCTGAATTATGTAGTGTAATAAATGGATCATCCAGGATTTTTGTATTTTTCTTTGTACAGAGCTTACATATCCTGGGTGTTTGTGGTTTGTTTTTTTTAAGGGAGACCTTTTAAATCCCACAAATTGATGCTTTCTATCAATTATCAATGGATTTAAGATTTTACTCTAATCTCAAATTTCTTTAAATTACATACCTAACAAGAGAGAAACTGGATTGCTTTTGTAAATAAGACTGCTTCAACCTGAAATGCTGTCATACATACTTAGGGAGGGATTTATCTTGTACATGATATTCTTAGGGGTAATAATGCATGAACTTATTTTATAAACTCTCGGACTGTGTATTGTCATGTAAAATATGTACAGTATTAGTGAACCATCTCTAAAAGTTAGTCTATAAATATTGTATAGTTTTCTTTGGCCAGAAATTTGGATAAACACTGCCACTTGAGTCAGGATTTTCTCTAGTATTATTTAGAACACCACATCTTTAGTCTATGCAGCTCACAAAGATTTCAAGATCTCCAAGGAAAATTCTATTAAAAGCTGACATTCTCAGGCTAAGTAGATGAATCTGTTCAAGATAGCAAAGTCTATCTCAGTCCTCCAGAGTTAGCAGATGAGATCAACAGTTGTGCTTATTTGTAGGTTGGTTGGATGAAACTGGGCCGCTGAATTTCTCAGTTCCATATCATTCATAAAATAAACAGGAAGGTAAATTGACTTCTGCCCCGTATGCTCTTGTTGTAAAGAGATGAGATTTCTCAAGCAAGCACATGCCAGCCAATTTCCTGTTGTACTATTCACTGTATATGGCAGCAAAACAAGGGGAGAAATGTACACACATTCTGAATTATTTTGCATGGTCTCATTTTGAGATGGTCTCATTCTAACTTGTCTAAGAATCTTGACTTTTCTTTTTTACATTTGAAACATCAAATAAAAATTGGAACATGAAAAAAAGACAAATTATGCACCATTCTAAGCAGCATGATGAAACTCTACATACCCATGACATGAATCAGCCCTAGTCTGGAATATCCAAATTGTATATGCTACCCTCCCGCTGATGACTTAGTGGCTGGGGAACTGCATACCTACTGTTGGGTACCATAGCACTTGTGCATATATAACCCATTCTTCTTCACTGTACCATTGAAGCAAAGGAGTAGCAGTGCTGGCAATGTATACTGTTCCATTTTATTAGTTATTCTGTACATTTTCTTCACTGTGCCTAATTTTAAATTAAACTTTATCATGTCTACATGTATATGGGGAGGAGGAAACATGGTGAATGTAGAGTTCAGTACACACAGAGTTTAGCATGTACTGGCAGGGAGGGATGTCTTACAATGTATCTCCCACAGGGGAAACTGGGAGAAAATTAGGGAGAGGGTAACACTGTTCAACAAGAAATATAATCATCACCTTACTTATGTAACTGTAACCCCTTGCTCATCATCCTTACAATGAAAAAGAATGTATCTCCCACAGATAAGGAGGAGCAAATCAAAGGGAAAAATATTACCTAATCATCTGCACAAACCATGTGACACACACCATATGCACTCACCAAGGCACTGTCAGATCATTTGCAGTGTAGTAATGATGGGGCTTTTTTTCCTTCGTTGGTGATGATTAAATCTGCCTTACTGTTGTTTTCATTCCATGTATTTTATTTTTAAGGCAGTAACAACCAGAATTTCCATTTCAGCTAACTAAAATGCATATTATAACCATCATGAGATTACTTTGTTCAATACTTCTTACATAAGGCTCTATTCACAAACTCCAGGAACAATAAATCTTTTGTCAGACTGACCAGATAGATTACCCCATGACCTGTTTATCTCTTTGATGTTGGTTATCTAGCTCTTTGGGCAAATAAAAGTGTTGATTTAGAATAAAAGTTCAAGAAGCTTTACCAGCCAAATGCCATACTAGATTTGTGGCTCAAGTAGTAGAGCCATGAACAAGTGAGTTGAGCCTGAGCAAGAGAGTGAGAGCACTCAGGCCCTGACTTCAGCCCCAATAATGGGGGGAAATAAAACAAAACAAAACAAAAACCATAAGCATACTGGGCACTGGTGGCTCACATCTATAATCCTAGCTATTCAGGAGGCTGTGATCTGAAGATTGCAGTTCAGATCCAGCCCAGGCAGAAAGATCCCCTTACCCTCATTACTCCAATTAACCACTCATTGGCCAGAATTGGAGCTATGGCTCAAAGTGGTAGAGTGCAAGCCTTAAGCAAAAGAGCTGGGGGACAATGCCCAGGCCCTGAGCTGAAGCCCTAAGACTCACAAAAGAGAAAAGTAAGCAATAGGCAGTGGAAATGTCCACATAAGGGAAACCTCAAAAGAGGAAGTCACACAAGCACTATTTCAGGTGTCCAGAAAAATGGTAACAAAGGGTGAACAAATACATCAGTGATACTCACGAGACACTATTTTGAAAATAGTATATATAACTAGTAGGAAGGGGGACAGGAGGGGAAAAATGGAAGAAAAGGAGGGAAGGGGTAACACTTTCATAAAGAACTGCACTAATTACCTGACTTATATAACTGCAATCCCTCTGTACAACCTCCCTTTAAAATAACATTTTTTAAAAGTCAGGGGAAAAAGAAAGAGTAATGAGAGACCATGAGACAGGGATTAACAGAGGGATACAACATGGGTGGCCCAGAGAGATCCTAACAGCTGTTTGAAGAGGAGTGTAAAAAATGATTCTGCATAGTCAGGGATGAAGCATAGTAGTCTGGCGCTTGCATACAATGTGGAAGACCATAGGTTCAATGATCAGAACTGCATAGGAGAATTTTAACAGGAGAAGGAGGAGGGAAAGTAGAAGGAAGAGGAGGAGGGAGAGGAGGAGGAAGAGGAAGACTGAAAAGGGAATGAGGAAGAGAAGGAGGAGGAGATAGAAGTGAGGAAAGAATGACTTGGTAGTATCCAGTCTAGGTCAAGGGAAGGTAGTGGTGATATTTATAGGAGGTCAGGAGAGAAAGTGGTCTGCATGAGAAAAGAACTTCCATGTTCAGTGCAAAGGACTTTATGCATTCTTTTCTTCTATTTGGCTTTCCATTAGCTAAAGTAAAAGCACTGACAACATTGCTCTTCAATGACACATAGGACAATGAAGATCCTTTGCTGTGGACAGTGAAAACTAAAAGCTTAATTCTTAGGAAAATCACAATTCCTCCAGAGAACTGAATGATATCACATATTTCATGAAAAGTCCCCCCGAGGTTGGCTCGAACAGGTATTAAATACACATCAAGATTCTCTACCAGGGGACTCCTACACAGAAAGAAGATGCTATGGAAGACAGAACTTAGAGTAGGTACTTTTAATCTATGTTCCCCATTCTGATGACCCAGTATACACTTCCTCATTCTCCATCACCCCTCCCCCACAAAAAAAGTACAAGACCAATAACCTGTAGCGCACAGAATAATACATAAATAAATAAATGATAACAAATAAAAAACTTTGAGGTTATTGTGTTCAATCGATCCTTGTTACAGTCATAGAAGTGGTAGAAGACTCACATGGGGAGAACACATAGGAGTCAGTGGCAACTCTAGGGCTGCACTGGTGTCCCCTAAAGCTTCTTCCAGGACCTGGGAGCATCTCAAGACTCATGCTTTCTTTCATATTCCAGAGCAAGGCACCTTGTGTGATACACACACAAGCCAGGAACCTTGCCTGTTAATTGCTGTGCTGATGAGGGGGAGAGGCCTGACAGAAGGAGTGCATTCTCACAGCATAGCTAATCAGATTCCCAGCTCCAGCTGTGAGCCATTTGTGTGGAACTTGATGAACCTACTTGAAGAACTCTTCTCTCTTACCACAAGAAACACCATACCTTGGTAAGAATGCTTCTTCTTCCCATGAGGGATTCTGTGAATGCACAGAATATATCCATCCTTTGTCTCCACGAAATGCTCTTCAACAGAGTATCCCCAGTAACTTATCATTTGCATCTGGGAAGAGAAAGGACTTCCATTAGAACCTGGCTACCAGACAAAAATAAACACTTCTTTCCTCTCTAAATGTGCGAACTAACACTGCCCTGGTTTTCAAGGTTCTATCCTAAGAAATAAGCCAGAAAACAAATCAATTCATTTTCAATATAGACTAAAAATAATTACATTATAATGGCCAGGTGCACTTAGAGAAAAGTATACACATAAACATACACACACACACACACACACACACACACACACACACACACACACACAAACACTTAACCTTAAGATCCCAACACCAGATTATTAATATTTCCAAGTCTCTAAGCTGATTCTGAGGTTGAGTTGCTACATCTTCTGGCTTAGAGTCATTGTCTGATGTAATAATCTATTTTTCAGAAATTTGAGACCTAAACATATTTTCAAAATTTTATTATTTACTTAAGATCAATGATTTTGAAATGTTTTAATTAATTAAAAGTGTATTTGCTTATTTAGTTTAACTTATTTTAGATGCATTCATTATGTGATTAAATGTGCTTTCTAGATATTCTTTTTTGTTTCTACTGTAAAGATGATGTATAAAGGAGTTATATAAATCAGGTAATGAGTACATTTCTTTTTGAACAGTGCCGCCTTTTCCCTCATTTTCTTCATTTTCCCTCACAATCCATCTCTCCCATAGTTGTGTAGTTGTTTTCCAACATAGTGTCTAATGAGTATCATTGCTGCATTTGTTCACTCTTTCTCCCACTATCTCTGTGCTACCCCTTGCACTCCCCTAAACAGATAAACTTATATTCAGAAGTTACAGAAATAAAAAACGATGACAAGAAAAAATATCAAAAAAAATCTTGTTTCCATTTCTTGGAGTTAATTTCAACAAATCATGTATATGCTCATACGCACATAGATATTGACTCTTTTGATCCTTTCTGAAGAATATCTTCTTTTGTTCTCAATGTGTGAATTTTTAGAGTCATGTTTAATTTTTCATGTTCAAGTGTAATTTTTTGTCTTTTACCCTCCATTGTGTTTAACTGTAGATTTATATGCATATTCCAATTATTACAATGAGGGAATCCATACAGCCTATGTTTGTTTGGGTCTGGCTTACTTTGTCTAATGTAATCCTTTTCCAAGCCTTTCCATTTTCTTACAAATGATGAAATATCACTCTTCTGATGGAAGCATAGAATTTCATTGTGTGTGTATACACACCACATTTTCTAGCTCCACTCTTCCACTGAGGGGCATCTGAGCTGATCACAAACTTTGGCAAAGTAGCAGGGTATAAAAAGACAACAAAAATGGTAGCTTTTCTCTGCACCAACAATGAGAAGATTGAGACTGAAATCAGGAAAGAAACTCCATTTGTAACAACCCCAAAAAGTAAAATAAAATACCTAGGAACTAACCAAGATGTGAAGGACCTCTATTATGAAAACTTAAAAACTCTAAAAAAGACCTTAAAGTAGGCTAAGGACAGGGGAAAGCCTCCTGTGTTTCCTGAACTGGAAGGATTAACATTGTGAAAATTGCAACAATGACCAAAGCTATCTACAAATTCAATGCAATACCCATCAAAATCCCACAAGCATTCTTCAATGATATAAAGAAAGCAATCCAAAAATTCACGTGAAATAAAGAATTCCACACATGGCAAAAACAAGTCCTCTAAAATTGGAGAAATACCAGTACCACACATTAGACTCTATTATGAAGCCATACTAATAAAAAATACCTTGGTACTGGCACAAGAATAGGTCCAAGGACCAACGAAATAGAAGAAATATACTCGCACACCTACTGCCACTCAATATTTGATAAGGGAACCAAAAATACAGAATGGAAGAAAGACAGCCTCTACAACAAATGGTGGTAGCAGAATTATCTAGACATTCTTAATCATGACCTTTCTTCAGTGTATTTTAAAATCAATGCTTAGTAATAATGCCCTGAAAGAGTTGTGACACACTTTCTTATTGTTCTTTAAACAAATTCTGTGAGACTCAAAAGCTAAACTGATTTTTAAAAAATCTATCTTAAGAAGTGCAGTTTTTCAACAATCACATGATCTTCATTCCTTACACATGACATAGTCCAGAATCTAAGATTCAGATAAAGTGAAAAATATAATGAGCTATAAAGAGATCCCAGTTGTAGTTGCATACACCTTTATAACTATAATTAAGGAAAAACATTTGTCATTCCTGCATTTTAAAAGCACACCACTTGGAAAAACTTACCACATTCATGTTTGCTTCAGGATTCACAGATGACACCTTCCCTCTGCTTCCCTGGGAGTGCAGGATCCCAAAGACCAAACAGACCAAGAGCTCCAAGAAGTATATTTTCATCTAAAGAAAGGAATCGATTACTACTTTCCCTGAATTTCACTAGAGCTTACTGATCTCACAAAAAGTTTAGGGAAAGCAGAATTCTATGAAGGAAAGAAATGAAGTAGATGACTCCAAGCATATTACAAGTGGGAAAAAAAAAAGAGGCAATAGTTTTTTAAAGAAGAAATCCCCAATGTGATATTGGGAGCCTAACACACCTACTTAGTAACACCACAAATTTAAGGGGCTCCTAGAGAAAAAACAAAGGGCAGGACTTACACTTGGATAAGGTGAGAGAAAGAAAGAGGCAAAAAAAATGCCAGAGCTGGTTATTTCCAACCTCTGCCCTTGCATGTGGAACTTAAATCTTTTTTGTGATTTTTCAGATACTATGAACCCTTACCTCCAAGTAGCTACTCACTTAAGTTCTTGTCCTAAATTGGATGTCAATATTTAAGTTTGTCATGTGAGTGGGAAAAAACGTGAAAGAAAAGATCTTGCAAGAGAAAAACGGAGAAAGAATTCAATCACTCTCATTCTAGAAGGCTTCAGTCACCAGCTGAGGACATCCTAGTTTCTGACAGCTTTTTCTCACTATCACAGTGTAGCAAAGACCTGGTGGACACTGAGGATGAAGTGATATGACACTCCTGGTAATGCTTAGGGGAAAATGCTTGGTTCCCTACATGTAAAACAATCAATATAATCACTTAAAAATGTTTGTGTATTGGCCTATACAAAGATTTACATAGAAATGTTTATAGTAGCTTTGTATATAATACACAAAACACTGGGAAAATACCAGTGTTCTAAATGTGTAAATAGATAAACAATTTATGGATAAATAAATTCAACAATAGAAAGGAAAGCATAAACATGGACAGCTTGCACAATAACTGCTATATTAAAGAAGTAAGATGGGGGAGGGGAAGGAGAGAGAAAGCCAGATACACAGAGACATAAAATAATCAATATAAGGGGCTGGGAAGTTGGCTCAGTGGTAGAGCGCTTGCCTTGCATGCTTGAGGCTCTGGGTTCGATTCCTCAGCACCGCATAAGCAAAAAGAAAAAAGCCGGAAGTGGCGCTGTGGCTCAAGTGGTAGAGTGCTAGCCTTGAGCTGAAGAGCTGAGGGACAGCGCCCAGGCCCAGAGTTCAGGGCCCAGGCCCAGAGTTCAGGGCCCACGACCGGACCCAAAAAAAAAAAAAAAAGATAATCAATATAGTTTGATCTCATTCATATCAAACTTTGGAAAACATAAGCTAATCTATGTTGACAGAACATAGATTATTGCCAGGGAAAGCAGGGGTAGGATGAAAGGCTTACCAAGGGCCATGAATCAGAAATACTTTGGAGGGATGATATATAATAATATACAGTTGTACACAAAAACCATAGAATCAACAAAACAAAGAGTTGGTTCTTCAAAAAAATTAACGAAATTGACATACCCTTAGCAAATCTTATCAGAAAAACTAGAGAATACACCCAAATAAACAAACTCAAAGATAAGAATGGAAACATCACCACAAAGACAACCAATATTCAGAACATTATAAGGGAATACTTCTCAAACATTTATGCTAATAAAGTTTAAGAATCTGGAAGAAATAGACAAATTTCCAGCAAATATCGACATGCCCAAACTAAACCAAGATGATCTCAACCAACTAAACAGACCCATATCAAGCATCAAAATAAAAACAGCAATAAGAAACCTACCACCCAAGAAAAGCCCAGGACTGGATGGATTTACACCAGAATTATACAAGACCTTCAAAGCAGACCTCACACCAATACTCTTCCAACTCTTCAATGGAATTGAAAGCGAAAGTTCACTACCAAACTCGTTTTATGAAGCCATCATAATTCTCATCTCAAAACCAGGCAGGGACTCATTAAAGAAAGAGAACTGTAGACCCATTCCTTTGACCAACATCAATGCAAAACTTCTCAACAAAATTTTGGCTAATCGACTTCAACAACTCATCAAAAAAGCATACACCACAATCAAACAGGATTTATTCAGGGATGTATAGCTGGTTCAATATACGCAAATCAATTAAGATAATTCATCACATCAACAAGAGCAAGGATTGAACCACATGATGATCTCAATAAATGCAGAAAAATCATTTGACAAGATCCAACACCCCTTTATCATCAAAGCTCTGGAAAAACTAGGAATCCCTGGGACATTCCCCAATATAATAAAGGCTGTACCTGACAAATCTACAGGAAGCATTATACTTAATGGTGAAAATCGAAAGCCATTTCCTCTAAACTCAGGAACCAGAAAAGGATGTCCACTCTTTCCACTTCTCTTCAATTTAGTATTAGAATGCCTGCCTACAATAAGACAAGATGCAAACATAAAAGGGATCCAAATAGGGAAAGATGAAGTAAAACTCTCCCTCTTTGCAGATGACATGATCTTGTATTTAAAGAACCCCCATGGACTCCACACCCAAATTACTCAAGCTGATTTGAAACTTTGGCAAAGTAGCAGGGTATAAAATTAACTCTCAAAATCAGTGGCTCTTCTGTATGCCAATAATAAGAGCACGGCTGAAATCAGAAAAACAACTCCTTCTGTAATAGCCTGACAAAAAATAAAATACCTAGTAGTTAACTTAACTAAAAAGTGAAATGCCTCTATGATGAAAACTTTAAAAACCTGAAAAAGGAAATTAAAGCAGAACTAAGGAGGTGGAAAAAACTCCTATGCTCTTGGATTGGGAGGATTAACATTGTGAAAATGGCAATACTGCCAAAGGCTATCTACAAATTCAATGCAATACCCATCAATATCCTAACCTCAATCTTCAATGAAATAGAAGAAGCAACGCCAAAACCCATATGGAACAATAAAAGATCCCAAACAGCAAAAATAACCCTTAGCAGAAAGAACAGTACTGGAGGAATATCATAGCAAATTCCAAACTCTTCTACAAAGCCATAGCAATCAAAAGAGCTTGGTACTGGCACAAGAACAGACCTCAGGAACAATGGAATAGAACTGAAGACCCAGAAATGAACCCACAGAGCTACAGCAACCTAACCTTTGATCAAAGGGAGCTAAAAAAAATAGAATGGAAGAAATACAGCATCTTCAGTAAATGGTGCTGGCAAAATGGGTTAAACACCTGTAGAAAAGTAAAGATAGATCCTGATATATCACCCTGTAACAGAATAAACTCCAAATGGATCAAAGACCTCAAAGTCAAAGAAGACAACCTGAAAACATTACAGGAAGGAATAGGAGAAACTTTAGGGCTCCTTGGCACAGGCTGAAATTTTCTTAATAGAGACCCAGAAACACAACAAAATCAAAAACGTTGAGCAAATGGGATTGCAAGAAGCTGTAGAGTTTCTGCATGGCAAAGGATGCAGTTAGCAAGATCAATAGAAAGCCCACAGATTGGGAGAAGATCTTCACTAGCCATACAATGGTCAAGGATCTCATATTTAAAATATACTAACAACTCAAAAAATTATATCCCCCCAACAATAAATCCTCAGAGAAACAACTGCCCGATTAATAAGTGGGCTCAAGACTTAAAGAGAGACTTCTCTGAAGAGGAAATAGGAATGACTAATAGACATACGAAGAAAAGCTCAACTTCTCTAGCCACAAAAGAAATGCAAATCAAAACACCATTGAGATTCCACCTCACTCCAGTTACAATGGCTATAATCAAGAAATCTATGTACACATACATTAAAACTTCCAAAATTCTATATTATGCCTCTACAGTATCTTCTTTTAAAACACTACTGTTTTAAAAATAGAAGCTATACTGAAAGTAATCCACATATGATAAGAAAGTGATTCTTGGATTAGAAAATCAAACAACTTCCAATTTCTGATGCAATCCACCCTGGAGTAATTTTTCCAGATAATAGGGAACTTCAAAATTCTAGACAGGAGATCACTTTATCTAGAATCTGTATCGGCCATGCAAGCTCATTGCTTTTAGTTTGGAATATATCTTTTATTTGTTTATGTATTTCTGGTGCAGGCAATCAAATCCAGGGCCTTAAGGGATGTGAAGGGTAAACAAAGGAGGAGGCTGCAATGCTTGATAAGAAATGTACGCATTAACCTGCCCATACAATTGTAACCCCTCTGTACAGTGTGTTCACAAAAAATAAAAAAAAATAATAATAATCCAGGGCCTTGTGGATAGTAGGTAAATGCTCTACCAACTGAGTTACACTTTCTCCCAGGGAAGGACTGTACAGCTCTGGGCTACATATTATCCTAACTTCACCATTCCCAAAGACCTGTACTACTAGAGAAAAACACATTCACTGAAAAGTAAACAACAGGTGGAGGTATTGCCACAGTTCATAATTAGCATCTGTCAGTACCTGCTTTCAACCTAGTGACTGTTTTACTGAACGTGGACCAGCAAACCAGTGGGTAGGCCATCAGAATGACAGGTTATACTACTGAAATGAACATGTCATTGAGTTATTTTTCCTTCATCCACAACAGCACTTCCCTTCTCCAAATACTCCACAAGTCACTCTCCTACAGGAGATTGTGTGAGAAATAAAAATTCTAGAGCAAAGCACTAGTGGTTCACTCCTGTATTTCTATCCACCCAGGAGGCTGACATGGGCAGGTGAGATTTGAAGCCAGTTGATGTAGGAAAGTCCATAGGACACTGATCTCCAATTTACCACCAAAAAGCCAGAAGTAGAGCTGTGGATTGAGCAGGAGAATGCTAGCCTTGAGCAAAGAGGCTAAAGGACAGTACCCAAGCTCAGTACAGACACAAAACCAAACCAAAGGTCTGTAAGTTGAGTGTAGAGTACTCTTCTGGCTGTTAGTACCTTTATCTCGGTTCTTTCAACTTTGTAACAATCTCTTTTGACTCTGAGCCAATCTAATGAAGTACTGCTCCTTTTCCTTCATTTCCGGCCAGGAGAACTGAGGTGCAGACTGTGAACCCAGGTAGAGCCAAGTGCCATGCACGTATTAAAGATTCTAAAAACTGTGATGGAGCCGCC